ACACACACACACACACACACACACACACACACTCACAACACCCCTTTAGACATTCCTATTTAAGCACCAGCACTAAGGTAGAAACAGAGTTTTACAGTACTACTGTATAGGTCACTTAAAACTCTGATAGAACGTACATCGTTATTGTCCAACTCACAGACAAGTGACGTGTTCCAATTTCCCGACGCATTAGTCCCTTCCCTTATCCCCTCCCTCCCCTAGTACCGCCACAGTCTCCTCCCAGTCATGCAGACTCCTAGCCAAGCAATTTCTCTCACTCCTCCCCCCGATGTCCCTCCTGCTTCCTCTCTGTGTTCTGCTGGTGCCGGCCGCGCGTCTGCGCACGAGACATCCCCCGAGTCACGTGTTCGTTAGCATGGCGCGCGGATCTGCTGCTGCTGCTGCTGCTCTCACTCCACTCAACTGCCCCAGACATAGTTCTATGGTCCCAGTTTACATCCCGTCACCAGGGGGCGCCCTTCTCCAACGAGGTGCGCGCGGGCTGCTTGAAAGCGATCGAAACCACTCCAAGTTCAGACAAGGTCAGACCATGACCTCATTTCCGCGATGTCGAAGGCCAATGGATGATAAGAATTTCTCGCAGGATGTAAACAAACTGCATCGGGCTGCACTGTGGCGCTTTGCGCTAGACCTTACGACCGGGCCGACCACCGACCACTGGATGCTATTTATAGCTCTTTGTTGGTTGAGATTTCCTCAATCAATGCGGGTACGAGGCTAGTTTTGACCTGTTCAATGGTTCGCACGTCGTTCATCGTGAGGATTACGGTCAATTATTTGATTAGGAGGACGTCATGAAGCATAACACAATAACACCATACGCGTATACTCGAGGGACGACCGTACTGAGGATAGACAAGTCAGAAAGTCAAACAACGCAAGAGGCTTTGGTTCACTAAATAAATCTTTGCTCAGATATTTCTAAACTAGAAGTTTTTATCCATTAAATGTATGTTTCATGCCCCCCTCCCCCCTTCCAAAAACAAAAACAAAACAAAACCATTTTTAAAAAAAAAATCAGCACAGTCTATATCAATTAATTTTGAATTGATGTATTCTTGCAAGCAAGAGCTATAATTTACAGAAGGAACCAAACCAACATACAAACAAACTATTTAAAAAATCTATAAACCAAAACAAAAGTGCAAGATCAATAACAAAAACAAAAGCGCTCTGGGAGTGACAACCCCATTGATCACTGTTACGTTAACACTGCTGAATGCTGAGTGCTGAGGGTGCTGAACCATTTCGATCTATATGCCGGGCTCATAGACAGGTCGCTTCCTTACAATTACACAGTTTTGTTTGACATTTTTGCCTTTTTGATTTATCAACCCCATCAGGTCAGAACCCAAATGTTCTATCTGCTGTATCAATATTGTAAGGTTATTCGGAGTCGTTATTAAGATATTCAACGAATTGCGTACGGGAAAGCTTGACACGTTGTGTGAAACTCAACATTTATTTTTACATCAAATTTCTCAAAACTAGATATTGAGCAGACAGACCGTGTAATTCTATGGTAGCGAGGTACGGTGTGATACACAAGCTGTTTTCTCGTCTAGGTGTCGCGTGGGAGGGCTTGAAATAGAAACTAATAAATGTAAAGTTTAGACCCCCACGACGATCACAAAGCCCTGTTTTTAAGCAGTTGAAAATTGGGAGGTGCGTGCGAACGTTATATTTTCCAGCTGGATTCTAGTCTTATATTAGGCTAACATAAAAACTAATAGAACGTATTTTGCGACACTCTTTGGACTCCGGGTACAACTCTGGTGTATTTCTGTGTCTTTTGTCTCATTCACATGCGTTTTGTACCGTACCTACTCTGGTAGGCTGCCAAAGCCAACCACAAGACTCATTCGAAAATGGCGACTGGTGAGTGGGGAGATGGAATCACTGATTGGCACTACATTCAAACACAAGGAACAAGTGGGGAAAGAAAGACACTGGTCGTTTTTATCACGGCAAATGAAGTAGCAAAAGAATCAGTTATAATGATGGCTATGACACACTTCTAGACAAATGAAACTTGGAAGTCTTAAGATCGAGCCTCGATATTCACAGTGCGTTTCTCGGGGAGTTTTCACGGCTTTCGACTTTCAGGCAGATTGCTGTCTCAGTCCCATCGGAGATGTACGTTTTAAAAAAGTAGAGGTCATTGCGTCTTCCGTGTTTTTGTTTTCGAAATCTGTCCTTATCAGATGTTAGATGACCCCCTGCCCCCCCCCCCCC